GCAACAAGAAAACTTTAATGAAATAATCAGTAATAAACTGCAATCAAGTTTGATGCTTTGTCAGCATAACAACTCTAGGATGTTGCTCTAACTTGCAATCAGAAGGCTGCTTTATGTCAATTCAGCTGCCTTGCAAAGAAAAAGGAAGGTGTCCACAAGTGCTAATTAAAGTTTCTAAAGGACCTTCCCTCCTAACCCTTTTAAATCCAACACCCCCAGGCCCCAGGAAGCTCTTAATGGTTCCTCTCAGAAATGTGGCTACTAGATGTTTCTGAATAACAAAACAGCTTTCTCAGCAGTGGTTTGTTGTGAAGATTTTCGATGTTTGACCAGAATTCCATAGTTCATGACTCCTCATAACCAGCATTTCGACAAGATATTGAAAACCCTTTCCCAACAGTGATATAGACTATAGAGTACACAAGCACTGTACTTCTAAATTTTCATATGCTTATATTGTCAGAGAAACAGAAAGATTACTCTTTACATATGCAGTGAATATGAAGCAAAATATAAGAGCCGTATCTTCAAATGCTTAAGCAACCCTCTAAGAAACTTTGTGCTGATCAAAGCAGCAACTGACCTGGCTTTGGAGAAGGCACGAAGCCCCTCGAATATCAGGGAGGAATACTAAAAAACAGATGGTTGAATCTTGAAATCTTTCACATTTGATTGGCTAATCACCAAAAAACTTACCAGTATTACCAAAATTATAGCAAATATAACCCATATGTTCCACACATATTTTCTTAAGTAAACATGAAAATGATCTTCATTTAGTACAGTCAGTAAAACTCTAGTACATCATTTACTTCTTGCCTGATACTTTACTGGAATCAATCTATCTCAAAAAATTTGTGTTGAAGCCAAACAACTGTTTAGCAAAGATTTGTGATCTTAATGTTTAAAATCAAGATCAAATTTTGAAATCACATTTGCTGCTAGCAATAGATACTGGTCATCCAAAAAGAGAGAGGCAGGGGTCACAAGACATACGTCCTACTAATTTATACATTAAAATAAGCTTCAATTCTGGAAAGCATCCAACTTTTAAACATGGATAAGGCACTATGTTACTGCAAACCTGCAGGACTCCACCAAACTAATAAAGTTAGGGAGAATCTAGGACAGAAGTCACTTCATAGTTCATACTCCATACAATGTTGTGCAATTTAAGACCAACACTTGAACAAAATAATGTGCTAAAGCCAATATGGATTATGTCCCCAAAAGGATGTGGCATTGTAGCAAGAGTTGTGCAATGTTGCATATCACATCCTTAAGATCAAAGGCAAATATAACTCAATTTTCAAACATTAGCAAAACTGTGCGCCCAAGGCTTAAGGTGTCTTACATGAACTAACACAATCCTGGCATGGTGTCAAAAAATGAGGAAAAATATGCATAGTCCAAAAGGGCCATACTACGGCCATGAACCAACTCATTGTGTGTGTGTGTGTGTGCGTGCTTGCGTGCAAGTAAATCACTTGGATAGCTTGGAAGAGCCTGTGTCAACCTAAGAATACAGAGGTCATAGGATTCACTCAAAATTCTCACCTAAATTTGATAGGGTTGACCAGATTATACTGGAAACTTGACAACAAGATTAATTGGGAGGCTGAGCTAAATAGCTAATGTTAGAGAAGTGTGTCAATAATAGGCAAGAACCCTTAAGCTTCGATTAGGATCTCACATTTGGAAAGCAGTGGGGAAGGTATGGGACTGGTGCAGGTACTGGGAAATGGAGATGGAACATCTATAGACCTGTGGAGATGAAGCTCTTAGAACGAAGTCATGTCATTGGGCCCTTCCCTAAGAACCAGAACAATAAACTTCTTAGTGATTTATATAGAAATCCCCACGATATTCAGCATGATTTAAACTTCCCTATCCGTGATGAACTACTCAAAATAATCCTTAAAATTCCTTTCTCAAACAACAAAGAACATCAAAAGGAAAGTTGACCCAAAAACAGCTTCTAGATTAATGGCAGACAAATTCTCAGCCAAGACATGTTGCCTAGTAACCCATCTTAGGATTGTGTTTGGATAGCACAAAATCATATTCTTTATTTAGCAGCTTTTTGGAACAGAATTCCCAATAATGTTAACTTAAATAGAAGAATGGTTTCAGCTTCCAGCACTGAAACTTTATGTACTCATGTCTTAGAATCTATGGAGCACATTCTTTTGTTCTGCCAGAGAGCAACAGAACTTTGGACATCATTCACCTTCCCATTTTTTTGACCAAAAACTTCCAATCATGGCTTTTAACTAACCTTGTTTCAACTAATACTTCAAACCACCCCCTCCCTTGGACTTTTATCTTCCTTTGCTATTTGGTCCTTGTAGAACCGGTATTTATCAAATCCAATATCACCACTGAATGGTTCTTCAATCACAAAAACCAACCAGGGCCAAGGAGCCCACCCTGCATGCATGGTCCACCACCACCCTTGTCTATGAAAATTAGCACTGATGCTTCCTTTAACCACAACAGCAAAGTAGCAGGTTGTGCTGCAGATTGCAGGGATGGAAATGGTTATTGGGTTAAATCTCTAATTTGGAAAGGATACACTATCTCCTCGCTTCATTCTGAGTTTACTAAAATCCAGAAAGCTCTACAATGATAGAAGACACATCTATTAGTTTTTTACTGTATGGAAACAGGCTCAAGACAAGCCATTGGAGAGATTAAGCAACATAATGTTCATAATGTAAGGTTGACTTTCACTATAACCCAATGCAGGGAGTATGGCGTCGCTTAGCAGACAAAATGGAGTGCAACTGCCTTTCAAAGGAAGCTCAGATAATGGATTAGCATATAAGCTAGCTTAGGATATAGTAACTAGAAACTATGTATGATATAGGAACTCCTGTGTTTTCAACCCTCCCCTGGACTGTACTAATATTATCCTTTCCGACAAACATGGTTCAGCCATGAACAATGGGTCTGTAACTTAATCCTCATATGATGAACTCTAGTAGTTAAGTAATACATCCTGGTTACCAAAAAAATATTAGCCAACTCGTCTGCCCATTCCATCCGCCCGAAACAAGGCATCAAAGTAATAATTAGAGGCCACTAGTTCAAGTGTGACTCAACAGGGTAAGAATTTGATGCAACTTTAATATAGACTTCCATCTTGCTTCCTATTAGTGTAGTCCAACATCTCATGATCATGGAATTCAACAGTTTTTTCAAATAATAAAGAGTAATTGCCAAGTATTCCGTGATTGTAATCAAACTCAAACAATAATTTTATTTTATATTGGCAACAAACTAAAGGCCGTTGTACTTACAGTGCAGCAGACTACTGTTTTGATTTGCATACTACTGAGTATGAATCAACATAATGAGTATAAATTGCGTAATTCAAACTAGTAATGCGACAACTAATTCCAGACAGAATTACAGGATAATTGACACAAAGTAAAAAGAGCAATCTACAGGGAGCTATATTGTTGAACATCAATAAAATAAAAAATAAAATTAATATATATATATATATATAATATATATATATATACTTAATTTCGGAGTTCGCGACAAAATCACACGGGTAGCATTTGAAGCTAAAATTTTACTAACTCAGAGTCTACATATCCATCAAACATTTCTTCAATGATAATCATTCACCTAAAACATGAATCCAATTCTTATTTTTTCATGCAAATGAAACAAATCACATCAACTTCTTCATGCAACTGAAACAAATCAAATCAATCTATCTTACACTTCAATCTCCATCACATCATAACATTTTTAACATTGAGAAATTAAATTCAATACTTAAATCGACAAAAATGAAAATGAACAACCAAAATTCAAGGAAAAATCAAAATTATTACCTCAAGAACATTTTGAGAGAAGATAGAGTATTGAGGACCACGAATTTCAGTAACGCCAAAACTTCTAGGCTTTTCTGGACGATCTTCCTCCTCGAAGAAGCTCTTCCATCTCAACGAAGCCGCCATTAAAATGCACTAGGAGAGAGAAAAAATTTCCAGAAATGCAGAAATTTGAGTTCAATTGAATTTGTGAGAGAAGAAGATAAAAAGAAATTAGGGATTTTATATGATCAAAGTTATTATGATTGTGTAATATAAAAAGTTGGTTGAAGGGAGTGTGAGTCGGTTGTTCTAGAGAGCGCTCAAAGCTTGTACAAATGTTATTTTGTCAGCAATTTATCTGTTTTCTGAATGTGGGGTCCATTGACCCTTTTTTCAATTTTATTACTCTTACAGTATTATCCAGTTTTATGATTATCTTGATCCATTTGTACTAGTATATTCTTTTTCATAACTTTAGATTTTAAGCCCATTGTTTTTATTCAATTTGGATGAACAAAGGCCCAATTAAAAAGATAAAAGTTCACAAAGCTTTAATTTGTAAAGAACAAGGTTATGGGTTCTCAATTAGAAATTTTAGAACTAGTTAGTAGGCAGGTTGGGTCAGATTCGGATCTACAGACGGGTCAAGTCATAAGTGGGTTGTCTTAAAAGGGTTTAAGCATATTAAAGTGGATCGTGATATCTTTTACAAAATTACTCGTATTAGACTATTAATGTAAGAGCAGTTGTTTACACTGAAAGTAGATGGATCAATACTTATTACTCCAAAAAACTATATCCCACGAGAAATGAGAAGTTTTTTCAAGTGATATCTACGTTAACCATCTTTACTTTCGAGTTTGATTGAGAAACAAAGAAGACAAGCAAATCTACTACCATATATGCCATAATCTTGTAGAGCTTGCAAGAGAATGTACTGTAATGAGCTTTAGCGATGCCTTGTACTAATGTGTGCTGTTGATACCCTTCTTTCCTTGCTTCCCATGCCAAGAATCTAAAACCAACAGATTGAAAGACACACCAAACTTGGAATAAAGAACAATTTTAAGAGGAGAAAAGAACCTTTTTAGTTCAATCTCTTGCAATAGCTAACTATCAAGCCTTTACTTTTGTGTAAATTCCAACAGCTAATCTTTTCTTCATGTCATCACATTTTATTTGGGATGATCAGCAAGTATGCCTTAAAACTTTATTCTATATTCCCTACTTCTTAAGGACTCCCCCTTGTAAGCTCCCTCTTATAAATGCGAGTACGTTGTTAGACCAATTAACACTTAAAGCCTTCCAATATTATTAAATCTCAATCAAGCTTGTGATAGAAATAAACCTTCGGAGATTTTTCTCTAAATCATAAAATGCCGCTTTTGTCTAAAAGAATGGGGCCTGTGGTCTGTCTCTTTATCATGATCATGGATATTGTGGCCGGGATATTAGGCATCGAAGCTCAATTTGCTCAAAACAAGGTATGCTTTCATCTCATCATTTACTCCATGAGAAATCACTAGAATAGAGAAGAGAATAACTGATTCAATTTGATCTGTATTGAACATTGCAGGAGAGGTTCATGAGAGTTTGGATATTCGAGTGCAGAGAACCGAGCTATGAAGCATACAAGCTCGGATTTGCAGCCTGTGTATTGCTAGCAATAGCTCATATTATTGCCAATGTACTCGGTGGGTGTGTTTGCATATCATCTAGGGAAGAGTACATCAGATCTTCTTCGAACAAACAAATAGCTGTGATTTCCCTAATTGTCTCTTGGTACGTGCTCTAAACACCTTCACTCCTATAGTATTAGTCACTTTTTTTAAACGACTCGTGTTATATTGCAAAATTTAACATCTTCCATTGCAACATACCAGGATCGTATTGCTGATCGCCTTCCCCCTACTGGTTCTTGGGACGGTATCAAACTCAAGATCACGACAGTCTTGCGGATTCTCACACAAGCATTTATTCGTGATCGGAGGAATTCTATGTTTCATTCATGGGTTGTTCCTTGTTGCTTACTACGTTGGCGCCAGTGCTGCTAGAGCAGAAGAGCACATGATCAGGCAACAACACAGAGCTACTGGTCCCCGACCTCTTCCTACCTAAATAAACCTTCTTTCCTTCTTTTTCCAATGTTGTTTTCTGCCCTGTTTGATGAGCTAAAATATTGATTGTTAACCCTCCCCCTCTTTTGACTTCTTATTTGCATATACAAATGTAATTGACAATTTGTCTATTCTTTATTGTGAAAATCATACTTGTATTCTTATCACTATTTTTTGCATCTACAAAATTTACTCAGAAGTTTCATTATTCAAATTTGTCAATTTGCCCGCCTAATCCTCCTAATATACTCTACCAAAATCGCATTCCAGGAACTTTACAACAATAACGTATAAATCCCTACCAAAATTTGTCACATTTCAACTAGTAGTAACAAATTCAAATTGCATCTACAAAATTTACTCAGAAATTTTATTATTCAAATTTGCCAATTTGCCCGCCTAATCCTCTTATATACTCTACCAAAATCGCATTCCAAGAACTTTACAACTATAAGTCTATAACGGATAAATCCCTAACAAAATTTGTCACATTTCAACTAGTACTAACAAATTCGAATGAATAGACAATTATACAAATCTTCTAGAACAACGATTTGCCCACATTTAAGGAGTTGAGCATCAAATTTCTCAACTCAAAACGGTCACAGAATCAGCATTACAAAATCACAACAATTACACAATACGAAATTCACTGAAAGAGACGTTTGTTTCACGACGTTAACAAAACATTAGGTGAATTTCTTCATAAATAGCATAATCCGAACGAATTATAACGCAATTAGCAACAAATAGGCACAAAATTTCCAACCAGAAATGCTCAAATTCAAGCTTTATAACTCAATTTCCATAAAAGATACCAAATATTTGTAACCAAAAAATTCTACCCCTAATCTAAAAACCAAAGTTATCTCATAGAAACTAGACAAACTAACTATTATAAAATCCTAAAGAACTGTGTAGAAAATAAAACTATCTGCTTGTATGTTCATCCATCTCTACAAATTTCTAAGATTAAACTTTGATTGGATTCCTTTCGATGTCGAATTTACTCGTCATCGGCAGCCGACTTCTTGGGGCCCTTGTTGGGGAGGAGGAGGTTGTGGATGTTCGGCATAACACCACCGGCAGCAATCGTCACATCGCCGAGCAACCTGCTGAGCTCCTCGTCATTCCTGACGGCCAATTGAATGTGACGCGGCACAATTCTGGTCTTCTTGTTGTCTCTTGCTGCGTTTCCAGCCAACTCCAATACCTTCATTGATTGAAACGAATAAAGTTAGGTTATCAAAAATCGCAATAAATTTGGAAAGAGAATGTTAGGTTTAATTAAAATCTGATACGAGAATTTTAAGGCTTGATTGAAATGAAAAATTAAGGCGAATTTTAGGTTTACAGCGAAATGTCGAATTAATCGAAAAATCGACAAAATTATTAAAAATATCAGATTAAACCTAGAATAATTAATATCAAAATTTACGAATCAGAGCAAAATAAATCCGAACAGATAAACACAAATTTCAACAAAAATAAAATAAAATAAAGCTCGAGTATAAGATAATCATCAAAGAAGATTTACGAATGAGAACACAACCAGGATAGATTCGAACAAATCAACAAAAATTTCAACAAAAATGATGAAACTATAAAGAGAGAGGAGAGAGAAAATACCTCGGCGGCGAGATACTCGAGGACGGCGGCGAGGTAGACGGGAGCACCAGCACCAACACGCTCGGCATACTTACCAGCCTTAAGAAAACGAGCGATTCTTCCGACGGGAAACTGAAGACCAGCCTTGCTACTGCGAGAGACACCTTTCTTGACGGCGGCGCCGGCGCCGATGTTCTTGCCTCTTCCGGCCATTAATGACGATGAGAGAGAAAGTGAGGCGGCGATTGTTGGCGTGTAGTGTGAAGGGAAAAGTTTGGGCACGGCAGTTGTTGAGAGAGAGGAGAGATAGTGGAGATGATGAGAGAGAATCAAGGTGTGGAAGGAGTATTTAAAGGGTGTGGGAATGATTATTAGCCAATCAAATTGAATGGCACGGATCGGTGAGGTGGACCGTTGGATTGAAGAGGAGATCTACGGTGTGTGTTCCTTTTGGGGGTATGATGTGGCAGATTGTTGTTTTGGATATCTGACGTAGGAATTTGTCAGGGTATTAGCGGGATAGTTTTGATTTTTTTATTAATTGTGCAGTTGTGCGCCAAAAAAAAATGATCATCTTGAACTAAAATTCATAAGAAGAAATTTACGGAAAAAAATTGTATGAGAAAGCTAGATGGATATACAAGGATGTGTGGGAGAATATATCAATTTAATGATATGTCTCCTAAGTTATTGAATTACCCTACAGTGTACTTCGTAGTATAGAATAATCTTGAAGTAAGAGTAAAAGATACGAAGTAATGAATAACGGTTGTTGATATTAATGTCACAGCCTCCCAGATGATCTTTTAATGTTTGAATAATGATAACGTTCATTTTTAGTTCCGAACATGACATAAAATGCGTTGAAAACTATTTTCATTAGAATTGGGATGTAAAGTTCATTGAAAACAAAATTTTAGATCGATCTTCTTCCCTTAGCTTTATGATCTGATGATTAGATAAAAAAAAATAACTACAACTAGACATTGCATGCGTGTTCAACTTATTTACGAATAAACTTCAAAATAAATGATTGAAGATAAATCACTAAAAAGAATGAAATGCTAAACCAACTAGTGCACTTCAAATGACAGTTTCGAAGTACTCTGTAATAACATCGAAATAAACTACATGAAAGAATTAATTGATGTTGATGGTCATGTTGATTTTGAAGATGAGCAAGGATGAGGATGTTAGCTTGAAAGAAAAAAGGACGGACAAGGACCATTATTTCATTTTGATTCTACTTGATTTTATATTGATTGTGCGAAATTAATGATAAGAATCTATATTCTCAACCAATGCAAAAACACTTTTACTTATAGATAGCTTTCACAATAGGCTAAACCTGTCTGAATTTTTATCTTATATTATGGAGAAGAATTTCATGACCTAATAAGTAGTTCGTTATAATGATATGCTATCATTTCTTAAATGATTTGCATGAGTTATTAGATCAACTTTGGATTTTTTTTTTTTATGTACAATTAAATTAAATGATAATGGATAACGATTGCTTAATGATTGGGTGTTCCAAGGCGAAGGGAAGATCATTTCTTTTAATGTTTGAATAATGGTATTGTTCTCATTATTCTTCAGTTTCAAGCAAAGTATAAAGTTTATACACATGTTTAAAATATTAGAACAATCAATAATAACATTATTATGACCACCGTGAAAATAAAGCACCAAGCAAACATCAAATAAGTTTGTTATGTTAGAATGTTTAGGAGGATTTTTATGAAGTGGAATATAGTGTCTATTTGAAGAAGATAGGGTAAGGGCACTACTTATTGTATTAACTTATTTTGAAGGATTAGGACACATAGTCAACAATATTTTTTTAATTTTTTTTTAGCACAGACAATTTATTAATTAGATTAGATTTAACTAGAAAAAATATAACTATAAATAGTTTATGAAAGTTGTTTTGGGTGTTTTTGTCTCTCGGGAGAGTTACAGCACGAAGACTGATCCGGCGTGAGCTGTACCTGCAAAACAAACGGAGACACCGGTTGGGTGGTGCTCCGCCTCCGACGAACAAGTTAGTAACTTGAAGGGAGAGAAAAAGGTGCGGAAATTTAGGTGGGTATCTGCTCGGATTCCAAGCTCAGATGTCTCTATCAAAGGGATAGTTTGCAATAAATGGTAAAACGTGCCCTCCAAAAGAGGGAAATCTCCCTATTTATAGAGTCCTCGGGATGCGTGCCCCTGATTAGGTCAGTGAACCCTAATCATTGGTGGGTTGCGCCGCATTGCGGCTTTCTCAGGATTTGGGCCTGAAGGCCGTCATTTCCCCAGGTTTCTGGAGTGACACGTGTCAAGCAGGGATAGGTCCACTTTGGGCCATCTTGGGGATGACACGTGTCATCTTCTGATTGGACCACGTGGCGGGGTAAAATTACCCTAAACATTTGCCCCTCACAGACGTGACATGGCATGCCGCGTGGCATCTATGACACGCGTCACGCTCTGGTTGGTGGTAATTTTACCACCAAAGAGTAACCGTTCGCCTTCAAGGTAAATTACGGGAATGTCCCCACATTTACCCTCTATATATAGTCGTTTACCCTCGTCATTTTGTACGTTTACAAAAAAATTTCAAGAGAGTCAACTTTGAGAAAGCAGAAGTCATCCGTTTGAGTCAAGCGCAAGCGAGACAACTCGTTCTTCGTCAACCCAGCCGGACCCGTCTAGATATCAAATCTAAAGGTACCGTCTCTGCCTCTCTCAGCTCGTTTTCTTGTTTCACCGCTTGTATATATTTCTTGCAATAAATGGATGCATCACCAACACACACGGCACAACCTAGGTTAGAATCCAGCCGGTCACCGGGGACGGCTGAGTCTAGGACTGGGAGTGCCGCCTCGGGGTGTTGGGACCACCCTTTTGCTTGGATTCCGACCATTTATGTGTCTGTGCAGGACACAATGGCTCGGACTATGCAGACGGTTGTCGATCAGGAGTACCGAAGCGAGGGCTCAGGCGGCCAAACGCCTGAGGGAGATGCGTCTGGTCAGAGAAACCAGACGGCTCTGGAGAGATCCCCTCCGCGTGCCCCTTCGACTCCCGCGGACTCCTTTTTGGAGGAATGCGACCAAGACGACGATGAAGCCGTCTCAGCCCCTTTACCACAAAATGAGGAGGAGACGGAGAGCAACAACTCCGCCTCCACCTCTGAGAGAAGCGACGACTTGCCCCCGCTTGAGGATAACAAGGAGGAGGAGAGGAAGAAGTGGAGTGAGAAGGATGACCCCTTCAAAATTCACGTCTCCACCAAGGACAGGGTTCAAATGGAGGAGAACTTGAAGAACTTTACAGAGATGCACCCGTTAGGAGTCGGGTACAAGATCAGAGTGCCGCCTGAGGACGGCACCATCGCATGGGAAGACGATCAGCAGAACGCTAACAACTACTTCGGTTGTTATGAGGCGGCGTTCAAGGCTGGTCTTCGCTTTCCCCTTCACCAGGCGGTGAAGGAAATCTTGAGAGGCTATGGCCTCGGAGTCTGGCATCTTACCCCCAATTCTTGGGCAAACATCTTGGGGTATGTTGCCGCCTGCGAGTTCCAGGGGCTCCATCCCGGCTGGGAGGCTTTTGCTAAGA